GGGGTGGCGCAGGGGGAGGCGGAGGATTTCAAACCCGGCAGTTTTGTTTTCCCGGCTCTGATTGGCTCGCGAGGCCTCTCGCCCGCCCGTCGCGGTGGCGTAGGCGACAGTTCTTCCCCGTGCGGCATGCTGGGAATTGTGGTTTCCTTGGAGACCCTGGTGAGGTTTGATGCGCGGCAGAGAAGACTACGAGCCCCGTGATGCATTGCGCTGGGGGCTCGCTGTGCCGTGGAGCAGGCCGGGAATTGTAGTTCCACAAGAGAAGAACGCGGCGTGGACTATCGTTCCCAGGATGCCTCGCGCAGCGCAGTTCTTCCCCGTGCGGCATGCTGGGAATTGTGGTTTCCTTGGAGACCCTGGTGAGGTTTGATGCGCGGCAGAGAAGACTACGAGCCCCGTGATGCATTGCGCTGGGGGCTCGCTGTGCCGTGGAGCAGGCCGGGAATTGTAGTTCCACAAGAGAAGAACGCGGCGTGGACTATCGTTCCCAGGATGCCTCGCGCAGCGCCGGCTATTAAAAGGGAGAGGGAGGTCAGGCGAGGCAGAATCGGAGGTCAGAGGCCTGGCGGGTGCCTGGCTGTGCGTCACTAGGAGTTTTGTTGCGGTTTTCGTTCAGAGTGGGTAGCAGCTATTTCCATTCTTGTTTGAACCTGCCGGTTCCACAGCTGGGATGGTTGCCAAGCTTTGAACTTGCAAGTCCTGCAGCTCCATGTGACTGTCAAAGTTTACCAGAAACGTTTGGTACACACACAGCCTGTGCATGGATGTGTTGGGATGCAATTAAATGCTTTGATGTAAGTCATTAGAGAGATGAGAGTGTGAGTCACTAGCAGACCAATGTCTGTTGTTAAAAGAGAGAAGTGTTCAAGTGAACACAGTGATAGAGATGTAGCTGTGTTAGTCTGGTGTAGCTGAAACAAAATACAGGACTATGTAGCACTTTAAAGACTAACAAGATGGTTTATTAGATGATGAGCTTTCGTGGGCCAGACCCACTTCCTCAGATCTGAAGAAGAGCTCTGTGTATGTAGCTCAAAAGCTTATTTCTCTCACCAACTGGAGTTGGTCTAGTAAAAGACATTATTACCTCACTTACCTTATCTCTCTAATATCGTGGGACTGACATGGCAACTTCAACATGACATACTCTCTTATCAGTCTATAAAGAACAGAAATGAGAAGTCAGACTGGTTTTAAGACTTACTACACCCTGATGCTCAACTTTTGATAGTATTTGTTCATACAATGTTATAAGTAAATCAGATTATTTTTCTTGTAATATGTGAAAGCATTTTCTCACTTCTGTGCACACTTTATATTTGTTTTATAGCATGCAATGGTTTGTTGTTAAAATAGAATTAACACAGAAATTATACTAATGGCATTTTTTTTACAAAGACATCAAGAAAGAGTGGTTAGATGAGGTGATGTGTTATGATACTTATTGATTATGGTTGTAAGTAGATATGGAACCAGTAGTAAGGCTCAAGAGATATCTACTGGTTTTCTACAGTCTCTGTTATTTGTGAAGTATTTGAAGTAAATAATATGTGCATGAAATAGGTGAACAAGGATTGTGTAAAAGAAAGAAACTACAAGATGTCAAGTACAGAAAAGCCATTGACAGGATTGAGTCCATCTGGCAAAACTGAATGGTGTACTCCTGGAGGAATTCTGCACTAGTGGGCGTGCCCTGCTACATTCATTACACCATCCTGCTCATGGAGACAGATTAGGAAACACAGAATATGGGGGGAGAGAGAAATCACAGACTGGGGCAAGGGCATAGGTGCTTATGGGGTGACAACATTGAGTTAGGAGTTGATTAGCAAGGGACTGTAGGGTTACATGGTGACTGGAGGTAGAGGACTGCCAGGACAGATGAGGATGGGGGTGATGGGACTGTAGGGATGCATGGGAACTGGGGGAGGAATGGGGCAGATGTGCCTGATTGAATGGGATGGGGTCAGTCAGCATCTGCATGTGGGATTCTCCCTAACATACTTTCCCCCAAAAAAACAGTTTTATACTTCTTCCATCCACACCAATAACCCTCCAAGTTCACTCCCAGGCTCCTTCCATCTCCCTCACCTCCTATGCTACTTATGATTCCGCAAAGCCTTTAGATTGCTTCTGAGGGGTGTGGGAAATACCTTTCTATATTGTAGCTTAAATGAATTACTTGAAGTTCCTTATTAATTTGCCTAGGAATTTCAGGAATCTATTTGTTTGAAAAAATCTTTTTTTGTCCATATTATTAGAGACATATTTGCTGACAGATATTTTGAAATAAATTACCAAATAATTGAAACTGGCATAATTATATGGTGTTATTTTAACAAATACAATATTTTAAAATTCTCCAAATTGTATGTCGAATTTTTATTTTTTGGCACAGGATTTTTAATTTTTGGTGCAAAAATGGACACTCTTGCGCAAAACAGTTCTTGCGCAAGAAGCCTGCAGTGTAGATGTAGCCTAGCTCTGTGGATCTGCTGTTCAGCTGAGCAGCATTTGAATCTCTCCTGAGCAATCACATAAGCACATAGCTTACAGGGAGCTCTGATTATGACACAAGAAGGGGAGCCTGGATGTGTATATGTTCATGATCCAGTGCCAAAGAATAATGCTGCAACTTTTTCCATGATATTTGAGGCAGAGAAAGAGGTCAAAGGAAAGGCCTCAACCATGAAGGAGAGGCAGAAATATATTCTTCAGTGACTAATCACAGTGTATGAAGCCATCTGGGCTGTGAATTTGCAACGAATTTTGAAAGATGATTTAATGCTTGTCCTTTTGGCATTAGGATAGAGAAATGGCAGTCTGAGAACAAGCACAAAAACAATACTGACAGCTGGTGTCCATTGCCCACCCAAAATTATCCCTATTGGGAGAAACTGTAAGGAAAACCTTGCAATATTTTTATCTGAGCGACTAATTACACAAGCACCACCAGATAAAATCTTTGTTCTGACTTGTGGTTTTCAGGCTGAAGCTGAAGTCTGGTGCTGGACAGCAATAGTTGACCCCCACCAGCTGTGTACTCATCAGGAAGAAACAGACATAAGAATTATTTTACAATGTCTCCATGGTGAATGCCATCAGTGTGGTTGCTAAAGTCAGGAGCTCTGATGTGCTTAATCTTTTGCTGGCTCGCTATAGCAAAATGGCATATAGACAACTTTGGATGAAAACTAGCACATCAAAGGAACCAAAGTACTTTCCTAGTCATGCCATTTGTGTGTGAGCAACTACAATATGGGGCCACTTTTGGAAACTCTGCTCCCATCTCATGCCCTGAGTGGGTGTGATGCTACCTCTTTTATTGCTGGACCAAGCAAAAAGATTACATGGCTTTAACACACATTGGACAGAGTGAGCTGGACTCAGAAAAGATTAAAAGTACAGGTTTCTTTGTAAGATGTATAGCTTGCCAGAGGTCACCACTGACAAAGCACATGTCATTTTGTTCACGTACTTGTGGTTATCAGTAACTATACTTTATCAATGAAGGTGCTAACTACTTTCTGAATGGTATCCTTCCTGCCTTATCTATCCACAGACATTGATCTTTATCTACTCAGGTTTAGCACCCTTTCTCCCTATACTTTATGCACAGAGGTAGGAGGGTGGGTGACAGAACATCTTCCCCCCCACCCCCCTTCCCTTCTCCTATTTATTTTGAGTTTCCTTATCCTCTAATCATAACTCTGGTCATCTGAAGAAGTGGGCTGTGCCCACAGAAGCTCATGATACCATCTACATGTTTTGTTAGTCTATAGAGTGCTCCCAGACCATTTGCTTGCTGTTTTTTTTCTGTAACAGACAAACTCTGCTACCCCCTGAAGCTCCTGTACTTCCAACAGATGGCGCTCTTTTCTTCCACATAGAGATTGTTATTAAGCACTAGTTTGGAAACAGACCCACTGCCCAAATCTAGTACTTCCTCTTCCAAATAGAGTGCTTTGGAAATAGGAGAACAAGGATCTGGTGCTATAGTTCCTGTCAAAAGCATTTACGCAAGAGGGCTTTTGCCCAAATGGGAGCAGCATAGTATTTCCACAAGAACACTGACAATCTTACATGAGATCATCAGTGTTCTTGCAGAAATTCAAGCGGCCAGTGTAGACAGCTGGCAAGTTTTCTGCTTTTGCAGAAAACCTTGCCAGTCTAGACGCAGCCGGTATGTAAATCAGCAATGACTTGTTTTTATAGCAAATGT